CGGATTCAACCCCCGAATCCGTCAACATTCATGCGTAAGACCGCTGTTCGTGACTGACTAACATTACTTTGCCGAAGCTCTGCCGCAGCATGAAACGTGTAACTGGACTACGATTCAAAATTTTAATAACTCGATCTACTGGCCGCTGTAGATAGCTGGAGTCGAATTTTTTTAAGTAGGCCGTTTTTACTTCAGTCGCGCGACTGATTTGACGACCCGTAGATCCGCCCATGGGCCCACATTACTTCAAAACCACCTCTCTGCGCATATTAGAATGCTGCTTCGCTCGCCGTTCAGGCTAGCTTCATGCAGGCTCGCTCGCTGCACAGCAGTTATGAAGAGTTATCCATGAATTTTCACCACTAAAGTGTGTATTACTTGTTGGCTATGTCATGTAGTACACACTATAGTGGAACGAGAAAGAACACGAAGAAAGTGAAGAATTTGTCTTGAAGCAAATTTTCAACGCAGGGGTGGGTCATCAATTTTTATGCAAGTGCTTTATGACCGGTCCCTTACAATTTCCTTTTAAATTGGAAATACCTGGCAAGTGGAAGCCATTCTGAAGAAATCACATGAACACAAGATCGGTTGTTTGTCAGTTCTGTTTGTCGAAACACTCGTCGTGTACAGGGACGCCGGAGCGAGGGTAGGGCACAGAGGGGCAATGCTGACGTAAGGGCAATCACTAATTAATATTTCGTTTCCGAAAATTTTTTCCGGGACCTTAATTCACCAAAACAAGGGCAAAAAGTTTGAAAACACAATTTTTGACACAACATTCCAGAAAATTTCACGTATATTTCAATATTACAACATTTCACTGTAATTCATACTTTTTAATCGTTGTACCTCATATTTTTTGGGTTAGAATTTTTATCTATAAGGGCACTTTCGCCCCGCCCTGCCCCCCTTACTAAAGGGCAAGGGAGGCGATGCCCCCTTGCGCCCCCCCTTTTCCAGCGTCCCTGGTCGTGTACTTCTTCACTGCCATTGGCTCCGAAGACATTCCATTTTTCCATTGTTCATTTGTACTTTGTCTTAGTTTCGCTTCAACTTCTGGAGTCACGTTACATACCAACTGTGCTGGACAGATGCAGTTGATACAGAAAATCTGAATCTCAAAAGTTCTCAATAGCTTTACGAAACGGAAATTATATAAACAAGGCCGCCGGACAACTCAGTTCAGGGTGCCCCCCTGGAAGCTCGATTGCCTGGGTGCCCCGGCTCTTACCGGGTAGAGCTCATAGGAGTTACGCCACTGCCCCCTCTCCCGTACGCTTATGACTGCAGCGACAAATTCCAGTCAAATGTCAGTAGGGAAAATTTTTTAAAACGCTGTAACTCGCGCCTTGAATGGCTTGTGAATGACCAAAGAACGTGAAATTTTCGGTATAGACTAATTTGAGCATGAGGAGCGACGTATGAATCAATTAATTAAGTACGGCAGAATTTGGAGCGGCAAAAGTTCGACACAAGTTCGGCGAGCTTGTCGCATTATGCGACGTTGGAGCGACGTTGATTCATACGCCGCTCCCGGCTCATGTGCCAAACTTAACTCAACTTTAGTCTAAAAATAAACTTATTTATTTTGAATTTTATTGAGGTTTCGCTGGCGAATGCGCCCTAACCTTGTCAATAACATAGTATTTGGTACGCCGTTTGAATCACTGCCGTTCTTGTGTCGCATTGTGAGCGAGATTTGCAGTTTTTGCTAGTACTCTTATC